AAAGGTTTACATTGACCCAGGTGGTCCACGGGGCACGCACTAGAGAGAGATCCCTTCTTCCTCCCAGTAGAGCGGCACAGCTCAGGGTAGGAGAGTTAAATCTTGACATGTCACTTCAGAAAGGTTTCTGACCCCTGGTATAGGCTATCAACTGGCTGTGCAGAAGGTAACTTGCTGCAACAGAGGGCTGGCAGCATAGCAAAACAGCTTCCCTGGGCCACAGAGCCCTCCACATTTTCTCAAAGGATCCTTTCCCCCACTATTGAATTTTAGCTATCATTGGGTTGAAATATAGCCATTTCACAGCACACATTACTGCATAAATATTTTAGGTAAGAAAGCCACGGTACTAAACTGAAACCTCATGCATAATTTCAGGAATACAAAATATAGTTATCCAAATGGAGTTTAGCTTAGCACAGCAGAGTTACATCCCTTCTCTTTTAAAAAGCACTGTAAGATTAGTAACAAACAACTAATTTTTCCATTTCACAAAACAAAAACAAAACACCCCCCAAAACTCATGCAGCATACAGCATTCCCCTCATACTATGTGAGCAGCACAGGTCAAACACAAATATAAAAGGTAATGATAACATTTAAATACTCAACACAGCTACCTGAACCAACCTGAAGCATAGTGACATTTTCCTGGAAAAGTTCCTTTCCTATCTAAATATTGTCCTAACATGACCCTCCTTATTTCCTGAGATCTGACATTACAATTTAGCATGGTGTGGCTGTAGGCACACAAATATAATCTGAAATGATGAACAATGCAAGACAGCATACATCATCATTAACTGGGAGTTTATTTTTAAAAGTCAACGTGTGCTCCTTTAAAAGATATAAACTGAATATCTTAAGAATACAAAAAAATGAAACATAGTAATGAAATATAAACTCTTGCATTTCATTTTAATTGAACTGAGGGAAGGATCATTTTTCTTTTCTAAAGAACAGTATCACTGCAATTGTGTAATGCCATGAACACAAGCAACTTGCCTACAGTTTACTATGTATTTTAATGTCATGTTGGGGAATTAATGGATAATATAAATCTTGTGATGCAGAAGTTAACACCTGCCAAATAGAATGCATGAGCCTGCATTATTATTATTTCTACTGCAACACACTGAACTCCATACATATTTCAAAGATAGTTTTGAATTTAACTTAAGCTGTCATGTATGCTGTAGCAATATAAGCATTCTAGAAGGTAAAACTGACAGAATATTTTAACAGATGTAAACTGCAGAGGTGACTTATACTAATCGCATTTAACACTATCTTATTGGATTTCAAGCGCTTGGAATATCTGTCTGGGTCAAGTGTAAAGTCAGGCAAAAAACAAGGTAGAGCTGACAATCCTTTGGTCTTCTCTGTGTAATCTGACTTGTGTTTTCTGTACTGAAATGTATTGAGACAATTTTTTATTTCAGAACATGGGGAAAGCTACTGGGGGGAGGCTGTTCTAGATTTGATTTTAACAAATATGGAGGAGCAGGTTGAGAATTTGAAAGTAGAAAGCAGGCTGAGTGAAAGTGATTATGAAGTCAGAGTTCATAAGTCCAAGGAATGGTAGAGGGAGAACAGCAAAATAAAGACAATGCACTTAAAGGCATCAGACTTTAGCAAACTCAGAGAACAGGTAAAGCAAGGTCCCATGAGAAGCAAGTTGAAGAGGAAAAAAATTGAGAATATTTGACAGTTTTTCAAGGAGATGTTAAGAGCACAAGAGCAAACTATTCCACTACATAGGAAAGATAGGAAGTATGGCTAGAGATCACCCTAGCTTAACTAGGAGATCTTGAATGATCTAAAAATCAAAAGGGAGTCCTACAAAAGTGGAAATTAGGACAAGTTACATAGGATGAATACAAATATCCAAAGTCTGTAGGAGCAAAATTAGAGAAACCACAGCACAAAATGAGCTCGAATTAGCTAGAAACAAAGGGTAACAAGAAAATATTCTACAAGTACATTAGAAGCAAGTGAAAGACCAAGGATCATTACTCAGTGAAAAAAGAAAAAAAAACAACAGAACATGTGGAAATGACAAAGGTGCATAATGACTTGGTGAAAACAAAAACAAAGAAGGTTGGTGGATGTCTAATATAGTGAATGCCAGTGAAAATGAGGAAGGTTCAGAAGTTAATAGGAAAAGAACAAGTTAAAAATTACTTAGACAATTTGGATGTATTCAAGTCACCAGGATTTGATTAAATGCATTGTGGAATACCCAAGGAACAGACTGAGGACACATGTGAGTCATTAATTGTAATCACTGAAAACTCATGGAAGACAGAAGAGACTCCAGAAAACTGGGAAAAGAGGGCAAATGTAGTGCCCAACTATAAAAAGGGAAATAAGGACAACCCAGGAAACTATAGACCAGCCGGCTTAACTTCTGTACCAGGAAAGATAATGGAGTAAATAAGTAAGTAATCCATTTGCAAACATTTAGAAGATAAGGTGATAAGTAACAGCATAAATTTGTTAAGAACAAATTATGTCAAACCAACCTGATTTTTTTTTAATAGGATATATGGGAGAACTGTTAGGTGAATCACATCTATATTTTAATAAAGCATTTGATACTGTGTCACATGACCTTCTCATTTAATAAACTAGGGAAATATAACCTAGATGGGGCTACAACATAGTGGATTCATAATGGGTTGGATAACCATTCCCAGTGATAACTACTCTATGGCTACATCTACATTGTGCATTCTTGTGCAAGATATGCAAATGAGGAGTGGCGATTAATATCGCTGCACCTTATTTGCATACCTAATGAGCCGCCATTTTAACTCAAGGGGCTTTTGCGCAAGAAGGAAGAGTCTATACTGCTCCTTCTTGCGCAAAACCCTCCTCTTGTGCAAGAGCCATTCTGCCGCTTAGTACATCCCAGAACAGTTCTGCCTGAAAACAGTAGCAAGCAACACATTAGAAGCAAGTCTTCTCTGCGCTAATTAGGCCTCAAATGGAGTAATGTCCATTCTGCCCACCCACATTTAAGAAAAGATGTGAACAATTTGGAAAAGGTCTAGAGAAGAACAAAAAAAATGATTAAAGATCTAGAAAATGTGACCTATAAGGAAAGATTGAAAGAACTGGGTTTAGAGATGTAAGCGTTTAACCATTTAACAGATAAGCATCAGCTTATTGGTTTCTGTTATGGTTAAACTCCTGCAGCACAACCAGCTTCCAGCATGCACTGGCTCCTGGCTGCCAGCTCCACTCCCAGATGGCTGGCTGCCACCCTGCCTGGCCCATCTTCTGGGGGCACCCATCACTATCCTTCTGTCCCTAGTCTCACCCATAGAGCCCCAAAAACCATTAATCATCTAACAGGTAGGATTTTTAACATTTACTTGGTTACTGTTTTTAAACCTTTTTTATGTCCCTAGTTTGTTTAGTCTGGAAAAGAGACGACAGAGGGGCATAACAGCTTTCAAGTATCAAAAAGGCTGTTACAAGAAAGAGAGAGAAAAAGTAGTCTCTTTAGAAGAGAAAGTGATGACAGGAAAAGGAGGAATGGGCCAAGGGAGGTTTAGGGTGGACATTAGGAAAAACATCCATACTGTCAGGGTGTCTAAACACTGGAATAAATTGCCTAGAGAGACTGTGGAATCTCCAACACTGGAGATTTTTTAGTAACATTTAGACAAACATTTATCAGGGATTGTCTATATTTTTCATCGGCAGCGTATGGCACACATGCCATGAGTACCTCTGCCCAGCCGGCAGCTGCCGTATGTGCCGTGGTTGGAGCCAGTTTGCAGTGAGGCCATCCCTGTTGGAGCAGGAACTGTGGCTGTAGTAAGGCTGCCCCATGGCAGCCATGCAGCCCGATCGGTGGATGGCTGCTTCGGGGACCAGGGCTACTCTGGGGGCGGTTAGGCCATGTGGGGAAATGGGGCACCCTCCGAGTACTGCCCAGCCGGCAGCTGCCGTATGTGCCGTGGTTGGAGCCAGTTTGCAGTGAGGCCATCCCTGTTGGAGCAGGAACTGTGGCTGTAGTAAGGCTGCCCCATGGCAGCCATGCAGCCCGATCGGTGGATGGCTGCTTCGGGGACCAGGGCTACTCTGGGGGCGGTTAGGCCATGTGGGGAAATGGGGCACCCTCCGAGTACTGGGGTCAGGTTGTAGCCAAGCTGAGGTGTAGAGGCTGTGGGGAGAAGGGGAGCTTGCTTGCTCTGGGGCATGAGTGAGTGTAAGGGCTACCTGGGCTGTGGTTCCGGGGCTGGGCAGCAGT